ATTTGAGTAGAAAGGTGTGCTAAGTGCCACACTAATGACGATCTTTGGGGAAAAAGAAAGCTCCCGTGAAATAGGCTCACCCACCGAGCATCACAGATGGGTTCAATCTAAAAAAACAATTTTCCCCGCCTCTGAATTTATTAGTATGTTCATCGTTAACTTAGCGAATAGAATTTTAAACTTCAGTGTGACGTCTGAGCGTGTCCACGATAGGCGATACGCCTTACACGACAAACGACCAAAGAAAGCGTACAGTATACAGTATTTTTATTTTCTTGAAGATCCCTCGTTTTATCATGAATATGGCCGCCCAACCTCTCTATGAAATGTGAGTGGGTTTATAGATAGGGGTAAATTATAATAAAAATAAAGGTCACCAGCTTTACTCATTGTCAAGTAATAGACTATTGGACCATTGTAATTAATATTATTAATTATTATATAATTTATCAAATCTAGAGAATATTTTTTATTCCCGTCTTAATTTCGAGCGTTTTTTTTTTGTGATTTATGGGGTTCTTGTTAAAGATTTCTTGTTTTTGCAAGTTGCGCTCCTGTATAATTGTATGCATTTAAAAGCGTCGGCAAGTTACAGGTGGAATACTAGTAATACTCGACTCTGCTTTGATCAGTGATATGGATTAAAAATGGAGTTTTAGATTTTACACATTTCACTTGTTTAGTTAGAGGAATAAAAACGCTCAATAACTAATCTGAAAAGACCGCCATCAAGTCACTAATTGGTTTTGATGTAAATTAGTCAAATTATTGTAAATCTCTACATATAATAGAACTGTGACTGCTCAACAAAACTGGCATAACGAATGTGGGCCGTGGCGGAATAAAGAGCCCAGGTACGTAGCGCCTTATTTCAAGGGGTATATCCGCTCAAACGTCATAGAATCAGAGTAGATACTCCTAACGAAGGGGTTAATTGCTAAAATGTATTTTCTAGCTTAAAATTCGAAAACAAGTCAAGTAGTAAGTAAAGAGAGAGCCAAAAAGAAAATTACAACGCACGAATGCTTATAATAACCGAGTTTAGTTTTCAATAAAGTTTAAAACCCCACAGTCTACCCCCTCAGCATGATAACTGGTTAGAATTCTTAGCATACCTAACCATTGATTACTTTCTTCTGTTGGTGGCTGACATGTAATTTTTCCTCCTACACACCTGTAATTTTTTTTTCATCAAATGATTTTATACACATGAGGCAAAATCAAAGAGAATTAATTGACATGTAATTTATCGCTCTAATGTGTAACGATAACATCACATGCAACAACCCAACAGCTACTCGTTGATATAAATGAATAATGGATGATTTATAACAAGGATACCATTTATATGGTTGGATTCCATAGATGAAAATTAAAAGGTGTTTAGTTAGTAGTATGTGAGTTTTAGTAGCACAATGACTAATTGAATGCAGTTTAAATGCTTCAAATTAACATGTGTAATATATAGTATAACAAAGGTGTTAGAAATGTACATTATGTTGGTATGGTAGTGGGCAGGCTCGTGCGCGTGGTCCATGCGCGTGATCTGGCGCGTGCGCTGGCGTGTGCCCTTTTTGCATGTGCTGCATTTAACTAGCCTGAATGTTTTTTACATTATGAACGTTACAAGATTTGAATGATAATTATAGTAGACGTTACAAACACTGCTTTTAACATGCATTCAAAGCCTTGTCTAACCTCTCGGCTCTCCTGAACCCTATATAATGGGCCTCCTCTGTTCATTTGAGGACACAGAAAACAAAAACAAAATTCTTCTCGTCTTCTTTTTAAAATTCTATAAGCTGCTAGTATTGAAGATTATGACAAAGTAAAGTTGCAATCGAGGTGTTCAACAAAAGAGAGCGCTTCTTTGGACCGGTGCTATATCATCTTCAAAAGTATTATACAATCTCAACGCTACCGTAGTTGAAACATAATTTTTTTAAGGCTAGTCCTCTATTCAGAGGGCGATTCAGCATTTCTGTAAAGTATTTAAGAGTTTAAGTTTATCGGTTATGGTGTTTTTAACTCCCTTCTCTATTCCTTTAATTCTGCATGGTTTGTTCTACTTATGTGTGGATTTGTTTTTAATCTTGTTTTTCCCAACGATGTCTAAAATTCAGTCTACAACCGAGGCTACAACAAAAACCCAAATTTCTACTCTGTCGTACGTTGAAGCAATGTGATGTGAAACAATGTGATGTAGGTACAAAGATCAATGACAACAATGTTTCGCCAAATCAGCGATCGATCCAGGCAGGAAACTTAAGAATAAAGTGTAGTTCTCGATGGCTTTTAAGCAAAAGTTGCGATTGTACTAAGTTCAGACATTTGTAAATTATTCAGATAAAGAATGTAATGATTCGTTCTCTTAATACAGTTCAATTTGTAATATTTAGATCAGCAGAAATACTTAGCAACAGAATCACTCGCTCACTAAACAAACTGAATACAGCACAATCAATTGATATTAAAATTGAGGACAACATGCACGCGATAGTGATTCCGAAAATATTTGGTTGAAAGAAAACAAAACCTGCGCCGGTCTGAACAAACTCGACGTGAAGGACCTCTGGGGCGAACTGTATGCGGACGTGTGCGACGAACTGAGTGACGACGATGATGATCTGAATGGCGACAATGACGAATTGTAGGTTGAAGATGGCGATGACGACGACGATGGTAAGAGACTCAAGCGGACAGATCTTTCTCTTTGTGGCGGAGCTGCTCATCGGGGAGAGTAGCAAGGAATGTAGTGGTGGATCTGTGAAGGAGGGGGGGAGAAGTGGGGGTGGTTTCTTGGTGGTTGCAGGGAGTTTTGGGTTGGAGGTGGATCTAGGGTTAGGCGACGATGGGTGGCGGATCTGGGGGTTGATGTTAGCAGCGGAGGCGCGGTGGCTGGTGGTGAAGAGGACGAAGATGGGTAGGATCGGAGGTTGAAGACGATGAATAGGAACAGGTTTGGAAGGGCGGTTGTTTGTTGACGTGGGAAACAACGAAAGGCTGGCGGCTTAAACAAATGAAAATAAAGTAGCCTAGGGTTTCACACCTCGATTAAGCCAACATAATTTTCATTCGTTCTTCAATAATTCATTTTGATTACAAGAGCGTTTACATAAAAGAGAAAATACAGAATTAGAAGATTTCCTAAATCCATCAAATCTCCCATAATCACTCAAATCTCTCATAATCAATCACAATTAATCAGTTACTAAAACTGATTAGCTACCAAATCATAGTTAAAATTTAAAATTTCAAAATTCAAAAATTCAAAATTCAAATTACTATTACAACTAAAAATCAAAACCACAGTGCTGAAACACAGCGCCTCCTGCGCTGATAAACTCGGCGAAAATCTCGTGCACGCATCTGGATGTCCTCATCACAATGATAGCCTCTTTTCTTTTTCATATCTAACTTTTTATACCAAAAGGATGTAGATAATTCTAAATGCTGGATAACATCTTCCAACTTTAGTAGCTTAACTTAAAGCCTTAAATTATAACTAAATGCTAGATAACATAAACATCACTAAATGAAAACCAAGCCAATCGTGCTCACAGTGAGAAGCTCGCAACAAATTCCATGAGCAACTAGGACCAAAGAGGAGAGAATGAATTTGAACAGGATGACCAAGAACAAATTATACTCCTTTGCCTACTTGGCCGGTGGGCCAAAGGGCTGCACGGTGGGAAAAGAGTTTTGCTTTTGGGGCCCACTCGCCTGCCCCCTCCTCCTCACGCGAGTTGGCTCGCGGCGGGGCGGCGGGGCCCCCGCGAGCCAAAAAGCATTTCCGGTGGGAAAACGCTCTCGCTATGTACGGAGATCAAGAAGGGCAAACCACTTTGGATTTACTATATGCCGCATTACTTTGCACTTTTACAAGACCAAAATGCATAGGTTCAGACAAAATGAAATTACTATGATCCACTTCCAACCGACAAGAGTCCAATAACTGCAACATAAGTTCCTTTCTTGCGATTCCTCCGCCTCAAGAGATGTATTAAAAGGATAATGAAAACGAGACCCAAAAAATTGGCGCTATATCATCAATTATCTCCCTAATTTAATTTTTTCCTTCAGCTCATAGTGGTCAAACGAATGAGAGTGTGTACTTAAACAAAATCACGATAAGCACCATCAATGTCCTTATCCTTTTTGCCAAACTGGCTCTACAATCGGAGAATATATCCAGTGGAACCATCCATGCATTAAATCTACACTCAAATGAGGTCAACATTGCATCTAAGGATGTCAACTCTTAGCTCTGTGCACGAATCCAGATATTCTAATTTGGAGCACATTTAATGCCTAGACCAAGCAATGATAGAACTTCAACTCAGCCTAAAGCAGAAATATATACTCTCTAAGCAAGTCATCATTTGATATAAAAGCAAAGATGGCACATAACCTAAAATTTGATCGTATACTGTAGTATCCTGATTAACTTTTAAGAGCTTACAAGGATACAGAAGGATTTTGAGAAAGACAGCAGGTGGTGATAAAACTCCACATAGTACTGAAACAGATTCTCAATATCAACGTTAAATGTTCAGATAGAATGGTGATTAAGAAATATAGTATTGATACAGTTCAAGTTAGACAAGCGAAAAGAAGATACAATTCAAGATATAAATGCTCTCATAAAGCCAAACTAACAAATAGGTACCAAGAGAACCTTCACAAGTACTATAGCTATGTCTTCTAATAGAACATACCTCAGAATTTTACCCAAAGCCAGAGCCAACCATGCAAGGAATAACCAGAAGATAATTCCATGAATCTTGCTTCAAAAAAAGGAATATAGTGTACAACAACAAAGCCTTTATCCCAAATTTTTGGGGTTGGCTAGATGAATTATAATCTTCCCCTAAGTTCTGTCGGGGTTAATTTCCTCTGCTGATTTAATTATTATCCAATTTTTTTATTAGACCTAATCACTTACCCTTACTGGTGCATTTCATGACCATTGTCGTACAAAAAAAAAAAGGAAGTTTATCAGAGATAAAGATATTTTTATGATATCACAGCATACATAAGCATCTGAGATTACAACAGAAACCAGTTCAAATATTATCAGAGATAAAGACATTTTTGTAACAACACAGAAGACATAGGAAGATCAGAATTCAATAAAGTCGGAGTGCATGAACAAGGCTCAGCATACAACAAGCTATCTTACTCCTGATAGTAATAGAAATACCTTGTATGCACCCTTATTCAGTAACACAGTCTAGAGCCGGTTGCACCACTCATCCTTTTGAGTCCTCTTACTGAGAAGCCTGAAGAGAACGTAAAAGATAAACGGTCAATATTTCAAGATTTCATCATGGATCATGCAATAGGGATATCATGCAAGAATGCTCTGTGGACGTAAATCGTAAGACATCAGATGCAGAAATGAGAAATGGATTATGATGATTTTTTTTTGTGAAAATAGAAAAGATTATTAGACCAATGATTGGAGGAAAGAAAAAATTGTAAGATAAATCATTATAATGCAAGATATGCTCGCTAGAAAACAAAATAACCTGCATATCCCAGATATCATTCTAACACAGTATTTAAACATTTATATACCTTCTGGCCAAAGGTCACTATAAGTTCTAATGTATCCAAGATAACATAGTTTGATCTGGTAAGAGCAGGGCATGACATAAACAGCAAAGTCTAAGGCTAAGTAATGTCAACTAGCCATATCAGATAACAATATAAATTGGTTATGTTTGCAGGGTCAGCATCAAATGTTTGTTGAACGGATCAGCCCATTATAGTTATTATGTTCTTGCTTAATAGTTAACTTACCTTTTAAAAGCCAATGTCAGACATTATTACCCGAAGGCAGAACTGTTGCCGTGATATATCTAAAGACATATCAAGTTAACAATCAATTATCTATAAATCTTTTAACTTTAACATAAATATAGGAGCTTATCAAATTTAAGTGATTGAGCCGAACTGGCCAAAAATTGAATTAGAAAGATGAACACTATAAATTTATTTTATATGATGGAATCAACTAGCCATTCTGAACGAGAAGAAAACTAAAATCACATTCCTGAGTGCTCAAGAAGAAGAGGGATCATGAATTCATCTCTTGTATCATGATATAGAGCTTTCACTATCTGTATTGCAGAATGAGAAAAATAAAGAAATACCTTTATATTGATAATTGATCCAATAAATACCTACATTCTTAGCAATCTGTCATTATATGTATCATTAATACCCACAGACACGTGTGACACGTTCCAACTTCCCAACACAGACATTCGAATGATAAACACTGTAATAAGTCGAACAGGAAATTAATGCATATTTCGTCCAAATATATGCTTATTTTACTCATATATATATGTGATTGCTCATATAAAAAAGAGAACTTACCTTTCATAAGATAATATACAGATAACTAGCATAGGTCAAAAGAAATGCAATGTAATAGTTTACTCCCATCTTAAATATAACTTTCGAGGCAAATGCAAAGTATTTATAAAATTTATAAGTGTCAGACATGGATAGGCACAGGTGTTTTGTGTAGGAGTGACAAACATGCCAACTTTCTTCTGGGCGATGTGTCATACATGTCATATTCTCCTTCGTACTTAGTTTAATAATGATCATTATCTTACTTTATTAAACAATCTGACATTGTCCATTAAAAAAACAAAAAGCTCAAAAGCTACAAGACAATAGGAAGGTAGAAGTAAGGTACTTGAAGTATTAGTTGAACAGTACCTCATGTTCATGACCATGACCATGAGAATGGTCCTCATGTCCATCCCAAGGATGCCTCCAACCCTATAAATCAGGTGCTCCAAGAGCCAAAATCACTAGAAGAATACATGTACACAATATAAGGTTAATTGACGGCAGAAAGAAGTTTACCAGCACTACTGGACCATCTTGCTTAGCCCTATATAAGACCCAAAACCTACAAATAAAGAGAGCAAAGCGAAGGTAACAAAACTTAGTTAAGACTTTAAAACTGTTAACATAAAAAAATGTGTGCTATTTAACGAAGGTTACGTTAAAGAAGACAACTATTAAATTTGGAAACTCTACCCTGAAATATTCCCAGGCGGAGGAAACACTTCTATCATTAGTGAAATTTAACTTGACCTATTTCATTGTTAATAATAAGTAGAAGGCTTTGAATCTTGGGATTTGAGGATTCTTCCTTTTCCGTTAATGACTTCTTCATTCTTCAGTCTTCATTAAAGAAAAAAATATACTATTTATTTGTTCCTAAGTTGGAACAGCTGAATGAAGTTATCTACAAAAACTCAACACGAGCAATACAGATCAAAAGGAAAAGAGAAACAAACACATGTCAGAAAAATACTAGACAGCCAAATATACAGTTCATGATGGACACACAAAAGAAACAAATTATTTTCAGCCCACAAACAATATTTTCAAGATTCCTTAGAACAATCCAGAGGGAGCTACTATGACATAGAGCATGTTTGGTAACTTTGAATTATAATTTGTATGACTTATAATCCACAAATGACTTATAGTCATGTGGATTTTAATCCAAAATGTTTGATAAATTAGTAAATTATAATCCATTTTCAATGGTAAGAGTGTTCAGCACATGAGTGGCTTACGATCCGTCCTTCTTGTCAAAATGACCAAAAAAGGGTTAGAGATAGAGAAAGCGAGTTTTAAAATTTTCTTAAATGCTAAGGAGTAAAGTGATCTTTAGTGTTTTAAAAAGCATCCTAGGCAGACATCTAGGCGTTCGCCTAGGCATAGGTGGCCCACTAGTCGCCTAGAATTGGCCAGAGTAGCTAATCTATGCGGTGGAACCACCTAGGCGCGGCCCAAAGCTAGGCGGCCCAAAGCTTTTAAGGGAAAAAAACTAGGGGTGCAAAATGGTTCGGATTTATCTGAACCGATTCGAATCCGTATCGGAATAGCATGCGGATACGGACGATGAATTTGCTAACCAATCGGATCCAGATCCGGATCCCTAGTTCATTTTCAAAGCGGATACGGATCCGGATTCAATTTTACTCAAGAAAACCGGAGCCAAATCCGGATATTCGGCAAATAATGGCTACATACTTCCGCGTGACTTTTGACTCTAGCTACTCCCACGTAATATGTGTACTACAAATAAAATCGTGCTATGGAGAACCCATCTATTGATTTGACATGATCTTTGACAGAGAAAGAACTTTGTTCGCTAGTTTTAGTACATAATTATTTTAGTAATATTTTTTTCCCGACACTTTCTTTATCTAGGATTCTAGCATCAAATTCGTATAGCTACCTAAAACTAGTACCCAGGACTCTGATTCTAGCATTCTTATTTTAGGAATCAAATGTCATTATTTATTCTCGCAAAGTCTATATACTGCTCGTGTGACCTTTTTATTTTCTTTCTATTGTTTAGAAGCAATTAGCAGAAGCACTTAGGTGAAGAATTATCTCTCACTATACTTCATGGTTAGTATACGATATAAATATACAAACTACATAGGAATATACATATTTTTTATCATATTCAAATCATATCAATTTTTCAGATGTCCGATTTGCATCCGTGATTGTATCCGTATCAGTTTCTCTATATCCGAACCATATCCGTTTTCGTTTAATGCAGATATGGTTATGACTGTTTATTACCAAAGAATATCTCTATCTATATCCGTATCCGTTTTGAGAAAGCGCATATGAATACAGTAAGGGCCATATCCAAATCATATCCGAACCGAATGCAACCCTAGAAAAAAACCCTAGATATCTAAAACCTAGCCCGACCGGCATCCTTGAACCTGACCTACACCCTTAAAAACTCACAAAAAAAAACCCTCTCATGTTCTCTTTGTCCCTCCGCTCTCTTCAAGATCTCCTCCTCCCCCCACTTCTCCCCCACGCTCCTCACTCGCTCCTCACTCTCCGATCCTACCTCCAGCGCTCCCCCTTTTCGATCCCCCTCCGGCGCTCCTCTCATCACCTCTCCCTCCCTGATATGCTCAAAAACCCTAGCAACCTCCTCCCCTCACCTCTCCCTCTCAGGCTACCTCCGACGAGTCTCTCCCCTCTCCTTCCTCTGTTGAAGGTCATGTTTAACTTTTTCTTTTTTCACTATTTTTTATTTTATTCACTATTTTTTGTTTAATTTTTGTTAATTTTTGTAACTAGTTAATTTTGTTTTAATTCATTGTTTTTGTTTAGAAACCTAACAATTTTTTATGCATGGTTGATTATAGATATAAGATTACTATTTATTATTTTTTGTAATTTTTCATGAACTTAAATCATGTTTTTGTTAAATACTATAATTAAATAATTTAAAAAATAGTCAAATGCTTAGGCAGCACATAGGCACTAGACCCCAGCACAAGCACCTAGTCCACCTAGCACTTATTGTAACATTGGTGGTCTTTTATTTGATCAAACTATGTGACTTATAAGTCAAAAAAAATAAGTTAGGCTACCCCCAATATTTTTTTTTTAGCTTATACGACAAAATAAGCTGTTTGCCAAACATGACTCAGTAGCTTATAAGCTACAAAAGTGGCTTAAGAGCTACTTTGACCAATTGCCAATCATGCTCATAAAAGTAGCAAGATACCCGGGTAAGCCAATTTAGTTTTCTTTCCATCTTTTACGCTCGCAATTCTTTTGGCTTGGATCATGTTTTGCTTATCCACTTTTATTTTTCTACCCTTTTTCTTCAAACTTCTATTTCATCTAATCATGATGCTGATTTATTTTTTACTCAGCTTAGCCAAATCTCAAGAATCAAGATTTGTACAAATAATATAAATCTCATGAAGATACTTCTTTAAAAAAGTTGTACCTTGCATTAATACTTCTGAAATATGCCTTGAATTATACAAATAGCTTTCCTTATGGAAACTTGTTATCCTTTTTTGGACACTCCTAGATTTCTCTAACAACTCTTGTTCACAGTAACATGTTTAAGATTTATTTAATTTAAAATATATATCAAGAACTTTTAGCAGAAAAAGGCTGCCCATGTATTAATTTCTTATAAGATTATGACAACATTTGATATGTTTTAATATAACAGTGAGATGCGTTAAGCTAATTCATATAAATTAGTGCCAAAGCATGCTCTTTTCGTAAGGTCATAAGAATGCATTATAGGTTAAAGCTGCAGCATATATGTAAGAATCACATGTCAATGTATTAATATTATAGAAATAAGTGTATAGATTTTGAACTTTTGGATACAAGGACACATCTATGGATGAACTGTCTTCATTATTATTATATATATATTGATGCAGGACGATATCACTGTTTAGATTTGATTCAGATTGAAGATAGAATTATTATGATTTTAAATTTGGATTTGGTTTTAGATTGGTGAGAATTTGCTGTTTCGTTTAGTTGTTATAGCTTTAATTGTATTAGGATTAGATTGAGTTTGTTGAATTATTTTAATAGTTAAGATTGAATTGGTTTTTATAGGTAGGATAGGGTTTTGATTTTGTTTTAGATAAGAATTTCAAATTCTATTAAAGAGGGAAGATACTTTTATAATGCAGAAAGTTTATGATGAATAAAATTATGTTTATGTGAGATTTTTGGAGTGATTTCTCAAGGCGTGAAGCCATTTAAAAGGTTAAATGTGCGTGTGTGAAGTCGGTCTAGCTAAGTTATCTCTTATTTTTATTTTTCAACATTACAGAGAGCGCTAGGCGGCCTACGCATCGGACCAAGCGCCAAGAGCCTAGATGGGACTTAGGCATTTTATTATTTTATTTTTTAATTACAATCAATGTTATCAAAACCGCTAACCACTGTTAGGTGTCAAACTGGCACCTAACGTAGGTGCTAGATTTAGGAGGATTTCTTTTTTTCTTTTTTTTTAAAGTGGTCAGAGAGGAGGTCTGAAGGTCAGAGGAGTTGGAGGAGATGTTTATAGTCAATGGAAGAGACAGGAAGAGTTCGGAGGAGATTAGAGGATGTGGATGCAGCAATGTAGAAAATCATAACCAAGAACTAAGTGATGTAAGCCGCATAAGCGGTCTCCTAGGCGCTACTAAGACCTAGGCAGGCGGCCTAAGTACCGTCTATATCTAAGAGAGAGACTAGCGAAAATTCTAAAACAGTGGTATTTTTATCTTTTATTTCTATCCTCAAATTGATCCACTGCCTCCTTATACCAAAAAAATTTTGGGGTTATTGTTCATGTGAACGATACCTCGTTGATTTCCCATGATTGTTGCGATCATCCCTTCAACGATCTAACTCTCTCCAGCTATTTTTTCATATCCTCTTCAATCTCTGAGGATCAATGCTTAATCTTTTTGGATCGGAGTCCTCTTAGTTTGATCCTCATCATGTATCTTAAAGTTAGGGGTGAAAGTAAGGCAAATATTTAATAAATAGTTTGGTTAATATTCATTCTGATATTCGGTCATATTCGATCCGATAGTTCATTTAATACTAAATGAATATTTTAGTATTCGGCTTATAAACAAATATAATTTAACCAAAGGTATATTTGATTCAGCTAATTATTAACTATTCGTTTACATATTATATTTAATCCTATTAATTAAACTTGTTGCAAATATTACCCCTTAAAATTTTTATTACAACTTCTACCCCATATATAATAGACATGTTAGAGAGACCTAGGGTTTTTACCACTGATTGAGTCATTTCGTTCCGCCTCCAACTAAATCCTAAAGTGACGGTATATCTCTCTCTCTCACAGCTAGACTTTCCTGCGAGCTAGGGTTCCTCTCGACCAATGCATCTATGATGTGACCCTCCTCCCTCTCTGATGCCCTCATCCTTCCCTAACGCCCTCCTTCCTCTCCGACGACACCCTCCACCCTCCCCGCTTCGACGCCCTCCTCCCTCCCCGATGCCCTCCTCCCTCTTAATGTGATGCGCTCCTCCTTCTTCGACTTTCCCTCTCTCTTGAATCCCCTCTTC